GAGAGAGAAGAAGAAAAAAGTCGAACCTTTCCCTTTTCACTTTCCTTCGCTGCTTCCGAATCTTCTTTGGGAGCGATGTTATTTTTTGTAAGTTTAAATTCCAGGGTACCTTAGTTGTTGCTTTTACAATTTAACCCAGTCAGCCAAAACTTTCACTTCTTATCTTCCTCCTGCACATTCTTTTCCGGTCGAGTTCTCCTTTGTGGTGGCCATTTCTGACCATTGCTGCAACCGCCTTTGGGAAAGGCAGTAATGGCCAGATGAGGAGGAGAGATGCGGCTCTTCTCAACCCTGCTGGCGGTCTCCCCCCTCTTCACCACTTCTACGGGGTGGTTTAGCCCTGAAACCAGCCGGCTCGGGGCGCTCCACGATCGTGGATTTCTGTCTGTCGCCGAAGCCCTTCAAACCGGAAGTCCCTGTCTCCCAGTCATTCTCACATACCATTACAACAGTCCTTCCAATCTATGAAGTACTCAGTGTAGGCAGTCCCAATGATGGAAAGTCTACATTCTCTAGAATGTATATCAAGTCATATTTGAGTGCTTCCAGAATTAACATGTGGCAGAAGTGGTGTAGCATGACAGCATGGGTCAAGTTAGTCTTAAGAGGAATGAACTCTGGAATCTACTTTCAGCATCAAACCAGCTTGATCCTGTACACAATGTTGATTACAGCCTCTATAGGAAACAAGTCTAGGCAGCAATGGTCTACTTTTCCCAAAGGCCATGGCATTGATGTGTTAATCCACACATCCACACCAAGTGCTCCATTACCAGGGAAGCCGTAGACTGCCAATGCTAATCAATGAAACCTTTGCAGACTTCTTGGCATTTTGGAGCTGGACTTGGAGGACCTGGTGGTCTGTGATTCCTGCAACAGCTTGTTTCTGGACAGAATAGAGAACTCTAGTTGTAGTAATAGGAAACATGGGTTGGAAATCATAATTTGCTACAAAGAGAGCCATTTGACTGAACACATGCTGGGCATTGTTATATACAAACTCTGTAAAAGTCAATAGCTGCACTCAATTGTCCTATTGGTACTTTGTCAAGAATCTCTATAAAATTGAGGATGGAGTGCCAGTAGCATGGATCTGGAAACCCAGATTTTCAAATAGCATCTGTCAAAATCAGGTAAGTAAATCGTGGACTGCAATTGGAAATCAGATTCTAGCAATCCATGTGGGCAAAAAAATGTTCTGTAAAAAGAGCCGAGCCGTCTCCTGTGCTATGGACTGAACTCTTGAGCAAAACACAAAATGCACCCAAGTAATGTTCAGTATTTCTGGGGTTCTGAAGGACCCCAAAGACTTGGCTTTTGGTAAAGGTGACTGAAGATCCTTTTTCTTCTTTTTCTTTGTTGCCATCCAGATGTGTAATCTCTGCCATCCTTTTTTTTTGTTTCCTTCTTTTTAAATGTTTTTAACTATTTATAAAGTGTAAAGTTCGCAGAGTCAATGCAAGTCAGGCAGCATATAAATTTAATAAATAATCTTTTAAAACTGGCATTTAGTGCTATATCTGTTGCATACTTTTAATCTGTAGAATTCTGGAATCTGGACAGATCTACGGGAAGGATCCTAGCAGATGGAGAAGACTGGGGTTACACAGGGAAATGTATCAAAAATAACAACCAGAACTACAGTCACCATATTAACCACTAATTAATCTTTCCTCCCTCAAAGGATAGGATAAATTGCCTTTATACCACAGGAGTTAAAAACAACTGATCTTAAGCTATTATGAAGTGAACCCTATTAGTTTAAGAGAACAATTTGAGACTCTCAGACTAATGTTGGGTACCCTCCTACCTAGTTTAAAACCATCTGCAAGAGTTCTGTTCTGACTATTGATTAGAACTATCTGGCTCTTCCCTACATTGTACTCTTAGAGAGAGATAGGAGTGTCACCGGGGGGAAAAAACTGGTATGAGAAGACCCCTCAAACCCTGGCAATTATCTTTTTCATCTGCTGCTGGACGGCGTTTTAGGTCAATAAAATCCCACATCACTAGACTAACAAAAAGTTTCTTTCCCTGGGCCATCCGAACCGCAAATAAACACAAAGTCACTACCTCATTAAGATGTGAAAAGATGTGAAATCTCAATACCCCATTCAGATGTATAATAACATATTACAGTACAATCCATCTCTTGTGTATTATACTCGGCTAAGCGTTACAGTCAGTGTTGGATGTATTTTTGTGTATATTCGTAGATATTGTACTCTCAAATTGCAAATGGAGACGTGGGTACTCTATTTTTCTTATCTTCATTTTTAAGTGCTTTGGTTTTATTGTATTGCGAACAGTTGCTGGGGTGCATCCACAGTTTCATTGTACTTGTACAATGACAATAAAGTTCTTCTAATCTAATCTAAACCTTTGAGTTTTGCCACCATCTATTATATTGACCATATCCACTATACACAGTAGCTCCCAAGAGATTGCTGAGACCAAAAGAGGAAAAAAAGGATATAAACTGGGGATAGACAATGTTTAAGCAGTATTATATTAAGCTTTAAGGGTTATATGAATTAAAAGTAACACATTTGGAGCATTTTCAAAATTCACAATGCACTGTCCATTTGAGGAAGCTAAGAAAGCAAAATAAAAGGCTGAGGTAAGAAACAATACTATTCAAATAGGTGTAGTTGTTTGATTGTTGAGAGTAATCATGTGGGATGTAGTAGTTAAGGTGAAGGGACTAAAAGTGGGGAGACTCGGGTCCAAAACTTCTGGATGACTCTGGGCCTATAGCTGTCTCTCAGCTCAATCCATCTCAGGGAATTGGTATGAGGGGGAAAGAAGGAGAGAGCACATATGTGCTGCTTTGAACTCATGAAACTAAAAAGAATGATTCCTCATCCTTTAAGAATATGATTGCAACAACGTTTTTTAGTCTAATACAGTATTAGAAAACCTATTGCTATTTAAAAAAACCTGTTGAAATGAAAAATGAGATACATCTGAGTGGGAGGCCAGTTTCTTCCCTAAAGAGTCACTCTGCTGCAGTGAATTCAAGGACTGATATTGAAATCAGGCACTGAAAAGTCATTTTACTGAAGACACAATAAATAACTAGCTATTCTGCCTACTAGCTATTCTTCTACCATTGGGTAGAAAGAAATATATTCATATTCTCTTTCTCTCTCCCCTCCCCTCCCCCTCTCTCTACATTCTTAATGTAGAATGTAGTAGTACATAGTAGCGTTCTGCAGTAGTATTATCCCAATACTGCAGAACACTAATAGTTGTGTAATAACCCATAGCTTTCATTCTGGACATACTAGCGGGGATAGAAAGAAAATAGTTTATGATACAATTGGACTAAACTTTTATTTCTCTCTGGGAAAAGTGAACAATTGTCATGGGAAAATCCATGCTAAATGTTTTGGGAATGGACCCTTAGGGTTGCAAACCGTATAAAATTGTATCACACTTATGGTTAAGACTCTTTGGGGGAAAAGAATTTAGGAAGGTGTTTTTAACTACCTTATGATATGCCTATGGCATACGTAACGGCTTTTGTTCCCCATTCAAAACTGTGGAAACTGTTGTCATTTTTAGCAATTTTTATTAGAGAAAATGAGAATGAGGACCAGAAAAAGGGACTTAGGGTCTTCATGCTGACCACTTACTGTAAATATTCCGCCAATTAAGTAGAGTTTATTGATTTGGAAAAAAAAAACAAATATGTTGAAGAAGCCCGAGTTATATATATTAGTATTAATGATTTTTTTCCCAAAGGTAAACATATAGAACTGCCTATTCACTACATCCAAATATAGTTGCTTCCTTTGAAATAAGCACAAGCACATTTATGACCGATTTAGAATTGCAGTCAAAATCAACCCCATTATTATTGGGATTTTCTATTATTATTATACACAAAAATGACAGTATACACAGCAAATGAGATAACTATGCTGGGTTTCGTATCACAAATCACTAGTCAAACACTTCCTAACAACAACAACAACAGTAATAACAGTAATAATAGTAATAATAATAATAATAATAATAATAATAATAATAATAATAATAATAATAATAATAATCTTTAGTGAGACTCACAGCCTTTGGGGCTGGTTGATAGCTCAACTCGAGTCCTAACCAAGGACCAAGGAACTGTTAAGATAGCACTGAAGGTTATAAACTGTTCCAATTCGTTTTTTGTAGAATTATTATTGTTTTTATTATTATTTTCTACTTAGAAATTAGCCCATTTAATTGGCTTACTCCCAAACCACGTGCAATGGATTTTCTTTTAAACATCTGTATACCCCTTTCATTTCCCTCAGCACTGAATTTATTCCAGGAATAAACTTACACAACTCCATTCTTATGAATGAAACACCCTCTTCTTTTGTATAAGAACATTTGAAGCCCAATATATTTTTAATGTTTAAAAACTCTATACAGTTTGTATTAAAAATATTAGCTCAAACATGTATTGCCAAAACTTTTAGCACAGATTGTGCGATCAACTGACTTAAAATAGGGTTTACTGAGCTGATGACCTAGAAAAACTCAAGGGACAATAAATGTCTTCGGGTTTTAAGGCATCACAAGCATCTTCGATTCTGCTGCAAAAGACCCCATGGAGCATTTCGGGGAAACGGTTACATCACTGTATAAAATATTTCAACATTACACAGCAGAATGCAGAAAGATGTTACTTTCCCATTTGAATGTGTGGAATATTACCTAAGAAAGTAATATAAACTCTTTCAATGAACTATAAAACAAGTTGCGCCCTCCTTCCTCCATTAAGCCCAGCCTACTCAACAACCCCGCCCCCCCCGAAAATGGCAGCCTATAACCGGAAGTAACAACGACGTCACGCCATTGTTTTTCAAAAGCTCGTCTCTGTGGTTAAAGTTGAGTTACGCATCTTCCGTATTTTTTCACTTCAGAACCCGGATGGAGACGACCAACTCTCCAGGGGCAGCGAGTCTCACACCAAGGGCGCCTGCGCCTGCGCCGTCTGAGTGTGGGCTTTCTATCGAGAGAATGCGCCGAGCCGGCAGGCAGCACTGAGTATCGGTGCGCAAGCGCGGTGGAGGCAGGCCGGGATTTAAAGGGGTAGTGTCGGCGGGTGCTGCCCCTTTGGGGGGGGCGGGCGGCGGGAGGGAAGTCTCAGTTCGGCTTTTTTAGAGGCGAGTGGGCTTTGTTCCTCCTGTTTGGGAAACATGGTTTGCGGGGGCTTCGCCTGCTCACGCAATGCTCTGTGCGCCCTCAACGTCGTTTACGTGGTGAGTATGACAACCGGACGGACGGCTGCTTTGCTTCTTCCCGGACGTAGCTTGGAAAGGAGAAGAGAAGCGTGGAGTTCCTATGGAGGGAAAGGGAGGGGGGGCTAGATCCAGGGGGAGGAAGGCTGGTGCGTGTGTGTGTGTGTGCGTGTGCATGATGATGGGGGGTGGGTGGGAGAACCCCACCCATAATAGGATTGCTGGGTGCCCCAGGAAGAGCTTGGATTTTTGGGGGGGGGGGGGGGGGGCAAGAAGATCTGGCCAGGTCTTTTTCTGATTGTATTCTTGAGGTTTGTGTGTGTGTGTGTGTGTGTGTGTGTGTAGGAAGGGAGCTGGCGGTAATTTTTAGAGGAAAATAAGAGCTGGGTGAAGGGATGACCTCACTGCTTCTGCCTAGAACACTTGCCCCAATCTGGTGACCTTCGGTTGTGTTGGAATGCAGGTAGTCCTCGACTTACGACCACAACGGAGCCCAGAGTTTATGTTACTAAGCGAGTAATTGTGTTCAGCGAGCTTTTTGCCCCGTTCTACGACTTTTCTCACCACGTTTGTTAAGTGAATCACTGCAGTGGTTAAATTAGTCACACGGTGGTTGAGTGAATCTGGCTTCCCCGTGAACGTTGCTTTGTCAGAAGGTCTCAAAAGATGATACACCTAACCCGGAGACACTGCAACCGTCATAAATATGAACCTGTTGTCATATGGGGATGCTGCAACGGTCGTAAGTGTGAGAAAGGGTCATAAGGCCCTTTCGCTGCTGTTGCAACTTCAAAAGGTCACTAAATGAACTGTTGTAAGTCGAGGACTGCCTATATATAGTCTCCAGAATTTCTAACTAACGTGACTGGAAATGTTGAGGGTGGTTGTGGTTCCTTAGAGCAGAGCAGATGGAGGAAGGCTAAGATTAATTTGTGAGAGAATGCATGATAGGAAAACGGTGGGTTTGTCTGACTGTTTTTAGGGGCCAGGAAATTATAATGTAAGAAAAGAAGCTATAAATCCTGCATACTTTGTTTGCAAGCATTTTGGGGGAAGTTGATGAGTGGGTAATGGATTGGCCCCAGAAGAGTTGGACTAAACATATGTCTTGTCAGGGTTGCATAGAATGGGAAGCTTGTGATATTTACCCAAGAAAATTTGAAATCTTGCCTCAAATGTTCCCTTGACTGCTAGCAACAGACTGAACCTTCTCTTCTTGTTTGCTGAGCTATGTTTTATTAGATCTGGTAAATAAATTACAAAGATTATGTGTCATTTGATTGGGTCCCTGGCTACACTGCAGAAACATCTGGGAAACTTTGAAGAAAGAAGAATTACCACTAGCTAGCTCAAACAAGAGCAGAACAGAAAATGACTGGTTTAATAGCACTTTAATAGTTTTCCTTGTACAATGACAGAAAAGGTGTGGTTTTTATAACTATATATATATATAATGCAAATGCAAGACTGGCATTAGGGAGCTGGAGGTTCTAATCCATCCTTGGCCACAGAAATTCATGGGATAATGGGGACAATTCAGTCTCTTGCAATGCAACCTACCTCACTGGTGGTAATAGGGAAATGGGAGAAAGGAGTGCTATGTGTGTTGCACAAAAGGCGGGTTATAAATAAATAATAAATGAACTTTTCTCCTCCCTTTGAGAAAGACAAGAGGCCTAAGGTATATTAAGTAAGGATAGTAAGAATTTGTTGGCATTCATATGTTCTGCTGTAAGAAGTCTTGCAGTGTGAAATCCGGGGTGAAAGAAATAATTTTAAAAGGGCCTGAGATTGATTTCAAATAATGTAAGTTGCATTCAGCATCAATGGGCATAATCTTTATAACTGAGGAAACCTATTTAAAACTATAAGAAGTGGGACAGATTCTGTGTTGGATAACCTGATTCCATTTTCACAGAACAAACAACTCGGCTGCATTTTTCATGCAATTAGAAATTTTTGGAAGCAAAGCTACTGCTCTGAAAGCAGATAACATATATTTCTTGCTTTAGATATTGCAACCTAGACAGTGGAAAATCATGGTCAGAAGAGAACATTGGGTCAAGCTATCATTAATGCTTTATTACACAACCATGGGATAGTATCTGCCTGAGAATTCTTCTAAAAATAGTAGACAAAATAAAAGAGTTATAAGCAGGGGTGGGATTCAAATTTTTTAACAACTGGTTCTGTGGGTGTGGCTTGGTAATCATGTGGCTTAGTTGGTGGGTGTGGCTTGGTAATCATGTGGCTGGGCGTGGCCAACTCAACATCACTCACATCGAGGCACGCATCTCCTCGCCTGGCCTCTCATGACTGTGGGGATACTACAACAGTCGTTAAGTGTGCAAAACTGTCATAAGTAACTTTTTTCAGTGCCATTGTAACTTTGAATGGTCACTCCACACAAGCAAAGTACCAGGAAGGGAGGGGAAAGAAAACTCCAGAGACAGGAAGTCTAGTCCTGCCAAGAATGTAATAAGGGTTAACGGAGAGGCAGTTTCTGTAAGCAACACCAGAATGTTTCCTTCCTGCCTTCCTTACAGGATTAGGCCAGTAATTTCTTCTAACAACTGGTTCTCTGAACTGCTTAGAATGTTGACAATCGGTTCTAGCGAATAGGTGCGAACTGGTAGAATCCCACCCCTGGTTATAAGGGACTTTGGAGGTCTTCTAGTCCAACCCCCCCCCCCCCCCCGTTCAAGCAGGAGACACCAGCTTATACCATTCCAGACAAATGGCCGTCCAGTCTCTTCTTAAAAACCTTCAGTGATGGTGTACCCACAATTTCTGAAAGTAAGCCATTCCATTGACTAATCTCACTGTCAGGAAATTTCTCCTTAGTTCTAGGTTGGATCTCTCTTTGATAAGTTTCCATCCATTACTTCTTGTCCTGCCTTCAGGTGCTTTGGAGATAGGTTGACCCCGTCTTCTTTGTGGCAGCCTCTTAAATATTAGCAGATTGCTATTATATAATGTATGTTATATAATATTTATTATGAGGCACTGTTGAGTACAGATGCAGATGCATGAACTTGAAAGAAAGGAAAAATGAAATGCTCCGTACTCTTTGAATAGGGAGAATGTTTCTCCTTTTCAAAATTGGCTAGAGACCTTTTTCAGCATAAAGTTTCATGTTCTGTTAAATGGGGCTGAAGCATAACTCACACCTTTTATTTATATGTGAGCCTCCATCCTGGATTACCTCTACCCAAATGTCCACATATTTTTTTGAAATTTTAAAATATGCTAGTTGATCCACACAAAGACTGGCCCATCGTAATGGCCAGGCCTAAAATATAATTATCAGAAAGTATGGTGGGTAGGAAATCATTACGGTTATAATGTGGGGCAAAGGGAGAGAATTAGATTTCTTTCCCCCCAAATAGTTGTCATTCGCAAGCCACAAACATCTTCCTCAATATGAAGGCATTATTTTCCTTTATGGGCATCTCTACAGCTGATTTGTACAACTATACCCCCTCCCCCAACTATTTATTTTGTGCTGTCCAATGATAAAATTGAAATCCACCTCTCTGCTGCCCAGAAAAAAAGGCTAAAATAAAGAGAAGGATGGGATTACTAAGCATTAAGGAAAGGTCAAAGAAGATGTCCCCATTGACTGCATTTGGTCTGGCAGCTTCTGGTCCCCCATTCAGGACTTCAGCAAACAAATACTGAGTAATAACCAACTTCATACAGTTAGAGGCATTTGATATTTTTCAGTCAAATGAATTTATTTGTAGCCAACCAGATTCATTTAGCTATGCTTGATACAAGTTGATATATTGTAAAACTTCATCTAATGGAGCATCCAGTGCCTTAGCTAAAATGGGCCTCACCTGCAAATGTTTGTAGCAGAGGCTTTACATATTTCTGCATCAAAGCAAATGCGGTTAGTATATTTCCCTGAATAATTTTACGGTTTCTTTGCTGCTTTAAGAAATCAAGTTCCTAGCATTTGTTGTTGCCCTCAAACCCACAAGTAACAAAATTACCTGTCATTTCCACAAACCAGAACCCACAACAGATTTCTGGAGAAGAAATGGCAAACTCCACTAAAAGCAGATCCGACAATTGCAGCAGAATGAAGAACTGGCAAGTAGACCAGCTCTCTGTAATTCCTTTCCAGATGAGAAGTGCTCTAGACAGTTGCTTCTTGTGAGGAGAATGCAAGGTAGCAGCAGATTTAGACTTCTGGGAGACTAGAAGGAATAATCATCCTTTTGCTCAAATGACAGTCCTTCAAAAGGATACTTAGGTTTGCATGCTTCCTTTTCTAATCACTTAAAGAAATTACTTGTTAACAGCTTTTCAGATTAGAAACCTTTGGATCATAATCATAGGTTTTATAACATTAGGCGAGTTTCTTTCAATCCTTAGCAAAAGAAGATTTAAATGCAAGTTTGAGGAACTTTAAATATTCCAAAAATATTTTGGAATGAACAGTAAAAAGTGATTAGAAGTTTGATTTCGGGAAATTAGAAATGGATTAAAGATGCAGATGGATTTGAAGTAAGATTTTGAAGTTAATTATAAGAATCCTTTCCCAGAGGAAAATGCTTTTGTTTTGAATTATGTTTAAAAAAAAAGGGAATCAGACTTTGAAAGTTGGATACTAGAGGAAACTAGAGCAACTAAAGGTTACAATTAAAGGAGAAAAACATTTACATCTGACTTTACTAATAAGAATGAAGCAAAATATTTTAACATTGGACATATTAAAGAATATTTTTGAACAATGCACTCCGAATGTTAATTTTAAGATTGTCTGCCTCTCAAGATAGATTGAATTTTACAGAGGTTATGAAAGAGCAACAAGTTTTACTGGACAAGACTAACACTGATTTGAAAATGGATTTAAAAATGGCAGGCTATAAGAATGATATGGAAAAAGATACTACATTGTCCATATGAAAAACAAATGAACAAACCCTCCAGCTGATGTCTTAATAACTAAAAATGATATACAAATAAAAAAGCAAGTGAATGACCTACATAATTTTCCTATGTTGAATATA